GGGGGGGGCTGCACCCTGTGGGGACCAGGGGACCCACCTCTCCTGAGCAGCCTCCCCACAAGATCCCCTACACCCACAGTCCCCACAGCAATTGCCCCACACCTACCCACACACGAACCCACATCCCTCCACACTCCTTCCCACCCCCTTCCTGCAAAAACATCTCCCCATCACACACCCATCATGTACAATGAAAACTAAAAGCATACATCAACACATATATTTATAATTTATTTTATCGTGATAATAGAGACACTGGTAGGCTTCCAAATTGCTTTAACATTGTAAATATGCCAATAAAGCACTGCCCAACTGATTGTTGTCTCTCTATCTCTCTCTGTCTCTCTCTCTATAGATACGTGTGTGTGTGTGTGTGTGTGTGCGTGTGTGTGTGTGTACAGTGGTCTTTTTTGTTTTAATTGTGGAAGAACATGGATGTTGGGGTATTTTTAAAAATGGATTTGGGATGCTGCTGCAGCAGTCCAGCTGGCACAAGGGGTAGTGTCCCCAGGTACCAATCAGCTGGGCCCCAGAAGTGGCACAATTTGCTCCTCAACAAAGTGCATCTCCAAGAATGTGCACTGAGGTAAAAAGACCCGGCTCAAATTTGCACCACTTCTATTTGAGCTGCTGCAAGCGCACATGCTTGCATGTATGGATGTGCCCCATGTGGGCTTCTAAAGGAGAACTTTTAAATTAAATATCGCACCCTACTCTGTATGGATACTGACAGTCCAGTGGCACTTGCTGTAAGGGCATCCAGTTTTTCCCTAATAGTCACTAGAAAACAACTCTAAACATCAGATCAATTTATCTTAATTTCTTGACCACCCAAATGTCAATTCTCATAGTTGTTTTCACTACATTTGGTGCTGATACATCAACCAAAAATAGCCACCAAAAATGGCATATAAAATGATAATATTAAAAAGAGCTTTGGAAAAATATATTAACCTAATTCTACCATCTCCAGCAACTTTCCTGCTGAAGTCAACAAGTTTTGCCTCAGTAAGGGTTGCTTGGTAAGAGCCAATCTACCATAGCAAGGTTCTCATGGACACTTCACCTTAGTATATAAGCAGGCCTATCTCCTTTGTGTTTCTATCCCTGAGAACTTAGCTAACCACCTTTTCTTACTGTTTTTTTTCAGAGTCAGAAGGCAAAATGGAACGAAGGTAAGGGTAATTTCTGTTATCAATCTCTGTATGGTTTTGGGCACACAAAATATGAAGTTTAAAACCCACTCTCCCCATATACGTAGTGGCTAACAGGCTAAAAATGAAAATTCTTTGAATAAAAATATATAACATATCTCTATCTGCATGTAAGCCATTAATGGCCAGATTTCCAGATCTGTACTGCTGTGGGGAAAACAGAAGACCCATTTCATGCAGGATTTTGAGATTTTCAAATCTGTTTTCCTTCCAAGTAGAAATGAAGGCCAAACAATATACAGTTCTCAACAAAAGAAAATTCTCTCTAAAATTCTGATTGACTGTTTATTATACTATATAATACATGTTAAAGTCTAGATAGAAATGAATTTAAAAAGGAAAAGATAAAAAAGTTTTAAGGAAATATGTGTCCTCCTGTGTTCAAAGAAGATGGAGGATTTTCTTTTGTTCTGTTAGAAACTGAAGTTTGTTTGGTGGAAATTGAACTGCCTGAGAGACTAAAAGCAGAGCTAACTGCCCTGCAAAAGGCAATAGAGTAAAAGACCCTCTTATACTGAGACATGTAGGCATTTTATGTGACACCAAATGCTTGTTACATGACCTGGCTTACTACTAAAACATTATATTACCTCCAAATTGGGATTTGACACCCTCCTAGTTCAACTTCTCTGGTGAAACTTCAGACTTATGCAGGAGGTTCCCTGTTCCCCCAAATCATTGAAGGACATCACTGATTCTTTTGTAATACCATATTTACTCAATTCTAAGGTGATACCCCCCCCCCCCA